CTGCAGGAGGCCGGGAGCTGAGACACTAACACAGATCCTCCGTGTTCTTGCTCCGCCCCGCAGACACAGAACCGGGCCACATCCCCGGCTCCACCAGCATGCCCTTCCTCTCCTTCCTGAGCCCCTCGGGCCACGAGAAGCCCCCCGAGGAGCTGGCCGAGATGTTCCGCGAGGCCGGGGTGGACCTGCGGCTGCCGCTGACCGTGACCTGCGGCTCGGGGGTGACGGCGTGTCATGTGGCCCTGGCGGCCTTCCTGTGCGGACACCCGGAGACGGCGGTGTACGACGGGGCCTGGTCGGAGTGGTACACGAGGGCCCTCCCGGAACACGTCATCTCTGAGGGCAGGGGCAAGCACGTCTGAAGACGGGGTTTTTTGGGGTTTTTTGGGGTGTGGTGGGGTGGGGGGGCAAGTCTATTGAGCTGCCAATTTTCCTGCAAGCTACAGAGCTCCGCTACATGAGACGGAGTCGCCTTCGGGGTGCGAGAGACACAATACCAAGCACAAAACGGAGCAGGCACAAACAAGGCAGTGGCGTGCTCTTGTGTGTGGGAGTGTCATTTAGGCTTGAGGCAGATGCCACTTTATTTTGGGGGTGCTTGTTGTAAAATAGCAGGGCTCTGTGCGTCCATAATTGGACGTTTATTGTTGGAAGCTCAGATCCTCCTGATTATCTAGCATTTGCTACTTTGCACTAACAAAAAAGCACCCTTTTCTCTCTTTCCTTTACTGCAGGGTGTTTCCATTCTAGGCTTAATTGATTAGTCCTTTGCAATGGTCCCAGGTCCTGATTTTTTTTTTCCTGTTTTCAAGCTGTTAAAGGTAGTCTTCAGTCTCTAGCAACTGAAAATATGTTTGACAGGTTTAATGAAGCCAATTTAATTAAGTTGAGGCTGCAGTTGCTTCCAGACTCGGGTGTTACCTGAGGCTCTTGTATTTCGTCGCCTTTTTTATTTCTTTCCCGTCATCTCTCCGTCTCAGGGATAGACAGCCTCTGCTATCATTTCTTTGCCACGTGTGAGCTGCAGCTCGTTATACGCTGAAGTGGCCTTTAGCATGAGAGAAGTTAACTGTTAAAAAGTCCCGGCTGGATCAAAGACCTGGAAAGGATTTGGAGCGGACTAGCCAAGGGAAGAGAGCCTGGGCCTGCTCATTTCTATAGACACTGCCCGGCCCAGGGCGTTCCAGTCCAGGTCTTCCTGAAGCTGAGGTCCGCAGGTTTGCGTTCCAGCTGAGCTCTTGTTTGTTTTAACTGGATCCCGCATTGCACTTTCCACTTGGTTCCAAACCTAAAAAAAACAGTTCAGAAAGGTTGATGCGAGATGTGAACTCGCCTGACGACGTTCTCGCGTCCCTCGAAAAGTGCCACTTCGTCGGAGCAGCAAAATGAGGAAGGTCTAATTTGTTGTTTTATTAGCTTATTGCAGGGGCTTAACTAAGTAGCCCAGAGTCTGGCTGGAAAGAAAACCTGCGGATGTTTGGGGGGCACCGGTAACAAGATTTGGGATTCCTGTTCTGTCCGGGAATTCCTCGGAATTCTCCTCCTGTGAGAACATGAAGCCTGCTCCCTC